CTTCTCTTCTTCTCTCTCTCGTCTCTCTCTCTCTCTCTCTCTCTCTCTCTCTCTCTCTCTCTCTCTCTCTCTCTCTCTCTCTCTCTCTCTCTCTCTCTTTATCGTCCAAATCGATCGCGCGTGACGAGAGAATCCAAACCACGCTTTTGTTTCTCGTTATTATCGAGTACGTCGGATCGACTGGACGTATCAAATATAATTAATAGCAAGGAACGAACGTCAAATACAAAGGCTACTGCATTCCTTCGAAAACAAATACATTTGTCACAAAGTAACCGAACCTCGACTAACCGATATGGGCACAAATGTCGTTCATGGACGATAACCAGCGTGCTAACTCTCTTGCTTACTTTCAACAATCTATATTTATTAAGAATCGGTAAATGACACAGAAAGCGGCACGAGAGGAAATGTAGGTCACTGCACATTGAAAAGTGTACATGGGAAAAGATGAGATGATTAAGGCTGTAAAGCAAAGACGATGTAATTGCGTTTGCGAACATTTACATCGTTAAACATTAGAAAAGTCATCATTCAAGTATTATGTAATTTTAAATACGAAAAATATAACATTTTTATTTCTATAACATAGCATGTAATTTTTCTTACAAGGATTTTTTTCTGAAACGTATGAAAAATATATATATGTTAAATGTATAATAATATCAAATTTTTAAATATTTCATTTTTCATCACAGTTATATTCTACTACAGTATCCAAATATATTCTCTATGTAATTTTTATTTCTATATATAGATATGCTATTCTATCTATAAAATAGATTAAGTGTATTTCTTTTAAATAAAATGTTTACATAATAAAAAAATTGTATTAATACATAATAAAAAATTGTATTAATACATATTATATAAATGTGAATTAATTTCTTCTCATTTATGTGATCAAATTCTCATTATATAAATAAAAAAATATATTTTCATTTATTTCTGCTTTCATATGTCGTAATATTACATATTAAGTAAAGGAAAGATATTAAATAAAGAAAAGATATTAAATAAAATATAATAAAGTATCTCTGTTTTTCATCATTTTATTATAACATAATAAGTAAATTTTTCCAATAATATAATATTCTAATCTAATGATATTAAAAATTTTTTTAATAATTGATACAAGATTTAAAAAATTTTTTTTAATCAATTCATTTTTTTAAGCTGTAATCTTTCTGAAACATTAAATAAAATAAATAATTAAAAATATTTAAAAAATATTGAATATATTATTTTATAGAATATTGTTTAACATTTGAATATGTAATATTTGAATCGAGTACTTGAACAAGAAGTTAAATTATGCTAAATTGATGCAGAAGAAAACTGATAATTATTTATATGTAATAAAATATATGTAATAAAATATATGTATTAATATAAATAAAAACAAATAAAAACAAGATTAATATTTCAGAAAAAGATAAAAAATATATAATTTGAAATTTTTTGTATTTTTGTACAGTGGCATATTTAAGTGCCAAAGCACACATATATCTAGAAATAAATTTCCATGCGAGGTTTATATCAAGAACATGCAAGATATTATTTTATTTCAGAATATAAGTTCAATAATGAGAGACACAAGCAATGAATTAAAAAAAAAACAGACACACTAATGAATAATATAATTATCAATAAAATATTTTCATTTCCTGTTGTTCACCGCTTGGCTGTCGCTTGTCAGCGCGTGATTTTATTCGCTTTTTAACGAAAGTAATTAGTTATACGAACGAAGTTGACAAGTTAATAACATGCATTTTACGCAAGTGTAATTTAGAGATACGGAATGATGTACGAGTGGTCTGAGAAATTTCTGGCACAATTTCTGACAGGATTATTTATTCCGAGAAAAACATGTTACATGCAAGCGTATGCGCAATAATGAATGTTATAAAAACGACTTCTAGATTAGTCGACACTGATTCTGAGAATCTGACTCTAAAATATCTTCCAAGAGAATTTCATGTGTATTTCCCGTCCCATTCGCGAGTCAGTTAGTATATTTTGTGTTTTATCATATTTGAGAATATTATTTTACATTTATAATTGAAAATATACTTTTTTCATTAAATGAAACTCAGAATAAAATCGATTTTAACATCAAGTATGTTATGAAATATCGTTCATCCCTCTAATGTAATGTATTTCTAAAGTTTGTCTTCAATTAAAAAAACGAAGATATATAAAGATCTTGTGTAACATTCCAGACAGCGCCGTGTTTCGTAGACAGGTAATACTTCATTAATATGCAGTAACATTGTGCATTCCAGATTATCGAGTTTCATCATAAAAGAAAGATAACTAAGGTGGTGCTATTCATAACGCGAGCTCTTTATTAAGAGATATGACATTTTCGTAATAAATTACTGACCACAGTGGTATAAGAAATGATTCTCTCATAAAATGAATTCTGATGAATTCAAATTGTGCACGTTTCTATTATGACTATTGTGGCATATGAATCATTGTTGGATAACATTATTTTTAAACAAAGAGATTGTAGTAAAAAATTCGAACATTTTCCCCTATTCGAAATATTTTAATTGGAATTCATACATTTGAAATATCGCTTCTAGTTTTGTAATACGGAATATACGATCGATAAGAGAAAATGCTATATTTGTATTCTGTCGCGTTTGTCTTTCCCATCGTAACATACATTTCACAGACTCACAACAAAATAGTATTCTCTGACACTGGGACTAGTTTCAATTTGTCATCGATAAGTGATGAAAGACAAATACAAAGCGGCATACAAATAGACAGACACACGCAGACACACAGGCTAGTCTACCGCTACGAACAATGACGACATAAACAGGCCCAAATTAGTTGACGCGGGCAATTAGTTGATGTAAATCAAATTTGGAAAAAGGTCAATCGATTGAAGGGTTTGTTATGCTTAACTAAAAAATGTATAATTATTACAAGTACGAAGGAGAAGATGAGTCTGAAAATAAAATAATTTCTATTTGAAAATTATAATCGCTTCTCGTTGTCGCATAACATAAATCGCATAACACAGATAATGTATATAAAATAAATTCACGATTGCAATACAATAAAATGTGACAGGTTGTGTTAAATAAATCTTAGCATTGAATAATCCAGAATTGTAATCTATCTTATGTATATTATATAAATAAAATAAAGTTCTATATCTTGTTATCTATTATTTTCAGTAACAAAGAATTATTTTTCTTTTTATCATTTTTTGCCTTGTGAGATATCACGCATATCGATGAAAATATACATATTGTATAAAATAAACTAATTAGATCACTGTTTAAAATGCATTATATTCACGAATATTATATTCACGAATTCATTATGAATGTAGCAGTTTGAGCAAATAAAAAAATATATCAGTAATCAAAATTGTTGATATATGTTATGTAGAAAGGCACAGAATAAATTCGAACAGCTGATACGTATTTGGTTTCTGGAATTCTAGATTTTCAACAATTTTTTTTTTAATCTCGAGAAATCCTTCTGCTAGATTAAATCGACCTAGAAATCTCGAATTTTCAGTAGAAAAACTAAAAATACCTATGGCAAACGTCTAGCTTTATATAAAAAGAAAACATTTATATATTTCAACAAATGACGAGTCAAACGAGTCAATAACAAACCCTTCAATTCTGTCGGATATTTATTCCAATCCTACAACGATGAAGCAGAGCTTGTGTCATTCGCGCATTACAAAATCAGACACGCGAACGACAGGGGAGGTGGGAACAGAAAAAGGGAAAGGAGTTGCTCTTTCATTCGCTTCCCCTCGATGGCATAACAAATATCTGTTACTATGCGACCTGCACAATGATATCACAGGAATACGCTATCGCACGTAGGTCGAGTGTCTGTACAGACACTATACGTTCTCAAACTAACATAACTATACCACACGGGGGTAGAACGTCTACTATGCCTCAAACGAGGGTAATCACGAAACGGGACTGATCGATCGCTCGACAATTACGAAATTCGTATGCGCGCTTCGCTCACGAAAATCAACTCGAAGTTATATTTCTATTGAAATATGCTATTGTCGTTTCGCCGGACTTCGCCAGACTTGCCATGCGAATCTTTTCTCTCTTATATACAGGATGCTCCGCAGGAGAATATTTCGAGCGCGATTGTCAATGCTGGTACAAGAAAGCTAGGTAAAAGTTGATCATTCGGAAGAAGCGGATTTATGTACCATTCTTGATTTTTATCATAATGGTCTTTCATAAACCGTAATATCTTTTTCATATCTTCAATATCTTTCAAAATATATATGATTGGAATAGGTTGTACGAAACATCCTGTATAAATCTGCCCTTGATGGTTCTCAAGTAGTATTTTAGACGATCGCAGTGACGTCGTCAGGACGTCTATTTCCAAAGACGCGGAAAGGGGCATTCGCTTCGAAGGAGATGCGATATATTCTCTCGTTTCTACCCCCGATTGTGGTAATCGTGAGACGTTATGTAGATGTGGCAGGCATGTGGATACCGATATTGTCCTCCGTGTCGCTCACTAGCGAATCCTCGGCGTCGGTCAGGTCCTCAAAAGGGAAATTGCAGCTCGAGGAGATCAGGCCTATTGAAAGAACACAGAGAGAAAGGAGAAGGATTGTTATCGTCATAATTTCGCGTCATGCGCAATTGGCTGACGGTTTCACGGACGATAAGATGCTCCTTATCGTCAACGCCGCAATCCGTAGAGAAAGACCGACCTGTGACTGTTGGGATGTCGTTGATTTCATTTAAGGAACTCGCGCAAACCAAAGCGCGACATCGGCCGGCCTGAGGAGCCGGGATTATTCATCAATCAACACAATTCTCTGGTGATGTGTGTATGCGTCTATTGGTATGTAATATGTCGTTGTTAGCGTATCTCCGCGACATTTGTATGAATATGTACCGGTAAATAGAATAATCTGCATAAGATTAAACTCTTGGTTAGTAATCGATAAAGAACTGTCGAATTAGCTTGCTTTAATCCGTTCGTTTTGCAATCTCATATAAAACACATGACAAAGCTTTCCAACTCGAAGATTTTCGATTAATCAACTGTATTTTTATTGAAGCGAGATTTTGCGATGATTGTTCGACCATAGAAAAACGTAAATGCCATAGAAAAATATCAAATAATTCTTTAATAAAAATTATAAAAGATATGACGCTTATAGATGCACAATTATCATTCTCAATCGCGTTCAATCCCACTTTTAAACACATTGCTGAAAAATCACTTGAAACAATATCAACAAAGTATAACAAGAAATGTTGTTACGATGATTTGAGGATGACATCTCTCAACAAATTCATTTTTAAATCATATATATCGAGAACAAAGAGAAATATGCATGTATATATGAATATATTAACTAATAAATTAACAAGTTAAATAGCCAAGTCGTATATATTAATGAGTTAGCCAAGTCAAAGTGAATATTCGAACGTGTAAAGCAAGCAAGCAAGCAGTGGTAGCTTCTAGAGTACAGTGACGTGACAGTGATAGAGGAGTACATTGAATGGGTGAAAATGTGGCATAATACAATATGTATGGATAGTGATAAGTGTATAGTGTACAATATATATATATATATATAATGTGGCGTGATGAGACAAGGCTCCTGCGGAAGTAATGATTAAAGGTTAGATCAGGCTTACCCTCGCTGTCGGCCTTCAAGTAGAGCTGCCCCTTTGGGCTCAGACACTGCCGATACTCGGTCGTGTAACATGCTGTATTCATCCAAACCAAATTTCAATTTTATCAGGGTGTAATCAGGCGACTCGGCTTAATCGCATTGTCAATCGCAATCCGCGAACAAACGTGGAAATCGCGGTCTCGTTGCTACTCATAGCTACTTGCTTTCCCATCTGACGGTGTCGCGCGCATAAATTCAAGAGACATAGAGCGCGCAAAGAGCCGGGAATGAAAGCCGTTAGCTTCGCTTCGAGAAATGTGGCATGATGGAGAGTTAAAAGAGAGACATCGCGCGGCAACGTATTATGCGTATTTAATCATGCTGTCGGAAACTTTTTATTTAAGGCGACTCGTAATCCCGACGGCGAGCGAGCTGTCTCGTTTGCGAAACTCGCGTATGTAAAAAGTTGCGCGTCCCAGTTTATACGACGGTTTTCCAGTCAATCTCCGGCCTATGTATTTGGAACACCGTCGGTCTAACTCTCAGAATGCCAAATTAGTTTTGAACTGGGAAGAGCAGAGACGACAGCCGTGGGAGTTGGGAGAGATTAATATCTGACTGGGTATAATATCGTAACGTCTTAGAACGGAACGAGAAGGCAATTAAGCCCTGTAGCCGACAAAAGTTCTTATCGCTATAGAATTCTATTATCGATTGGCGGAAAGCTTTCTATCCTGCGCCTCGTCCTATGAAAGTGTATATGGTGTTAAGTGTCACGCTAAATTAGTAACAAACGTTATTATGTATTGTTTTCTTCCATGTAAAGTTTTATCTTTTATAAATAAAAGTACTATTATTTTCCGTTATTCATTCATTCATTGTGCTGCTCTATGTTTCTTGTAATAATGTATGTTATCATTAAACACTTTTAACTTTGATTAACTATTAGCTTTGATTACTATTTTTTTCTCGTTTTTTTTATCATTTATCTTGTATTTAATCAAGACCTTGTATTTGGTTAAGTACAAGATAAATAGTAATACTTAATCAAAAATAAAAGTACTTAATGATAGCATGGACAAATATTTAAATAGAACGAAAGCAGATGATCAATGAATAACGTGTTCTATCAACAGCTCTTAACGGCGATATAATTTTATTGCCATTATAATACCGATAACATGATTCTCATTAATTATCAGTATTAACATAAATAATGTACTTATGCGGGATAACAAAAGTGATTTCCTTCATAATTGAAAACGCTTCTTTAATATCGCATGGCTACATAGATATAAATAAGTTTCTTGAAGACGCCCGGCAACAATAATTGCGCTGATCACGCAAAGGAGATCTAAAATTAGTCCAAGATGTAGCAGTACAGTCTATGAAACAATATCTACAAGTATATCGCTAACAAATAAGAGCATCTACAAATGGAACCATGCGATATCGAAGCAGCGAAAGATTGTAAAAAAAAATGCATAGACACCAATCGATTGCGGCTGATCAGAAAAGAGAGCATCACGGTTGTCATAGGGAAGAAATCCGATAAAAGCTGTTGCATTCTGCACATCGAACATCGAGAAATTTTTTGAATGTGATTTGCCAATCATCGACCAAGCCAGCCAATAATCGCAGAGTAGGGCATTCAAAAGAGAGATGACACAAAAACACCGAGTGTCTTTGAAGTGACGCTTGATGAGAGCCAGGAACACATTGTGTCGGTACGAAAAAAAAAAAAAGAAAAACGAATAGGAAAAGATGAAAATTTGAATTACAAACTCTGCAGAGGCAATATTCAATGCACTGTTTGTAGATTTTCCTGTCTTCATTCGTTAATATTACTATCGCACTGCGATTTGTGAGATTTATAATACTCATATTTTCACTGGAAGTGATATCATTTATTATGTGTAGAAAAGATGTTTCTCTGAAGACAGAGATGGCATAATATATTCCTTAATCACTTTAATCCAAAGACGGACATCGTTACACATCCTCGATAATAATTTTATATTTTTGAAGACAAATTGAGCTCAATTGCTTCTCATCGTTGAATATTTCAAAACCTTTTTTATAATGTTATATGCACAAAGAAAGTCGCGTAGCTAAAGCACGTTCATGTGTTGAATTCGGTTGTTAAATTCGTAATGAATTCGGAAATATCAACATATCGACGAATTAACAATAATTTTCTTATTCAGATCTCTTCAACGATAAATGTATATTACTTTAAGGAATATATCAGGCGAGTTTTGAAATAAAATAAGATCAAAAATATTCCGTATCAATCAATTTTTTATTCGGATCACGTTAACGTAGCATAATATTGGATTTTTGGGCTAATGTTATTCCCGGAAAGCTTTGATCTTTCAGAGTCCATTAATCTATCAAAAAATTGATGCAAGAGATCGCTACATCGTCACGAGAAAAATAGATTAAATGTATATAAATGGCACATAACGTTAAAAAAATTGATCATAAATTTTGAATGTATATCATGCATTATATAACCGCTTTACCTGAGTTAAAGATTTCAAAAATATGTAATGTATATTTAATTTTATAGGCGATAGCTTTTCCGATGTATAAAAATATTAATATTTCAATAAAAATATAAAACAAATTTTTTTTATATAATAGAGAGATTATTTTTCTGATAAAGTTAATAAATTATTACATACGCAATGTAGAATTCGTTAACCGTTACGTTGTGAATAGTTCTTCTAAATGTATTTTTATGTTTATAATTAACAAATAATTTAATATGCAATTTGGCCTGTGTGTGTGTGTGTGTGTGTGTGTGTGTGTGTGTGTGGGGGGGGGGGTGTATATACTACATACGTAGTATATATACGTTTATCTTAATTAACATTTATCTTAATTAACGTTTTAAAAATGAAAAGTTTATATAATTAATGTAAAATTAACATATATAATCTAGTGACGTACTTCGTTTCATATTTATCGACAAATAGCCTTGATATAAGCATTGAATAGCGCCTCTTAGTTAGTTTGCAGATAGAATAAGCGTATAATTACGCGTAAATATATTTTTTACGTTAGCGCATATTTTGCTAAATATGAAAATAATGTCAGCGCTAGATAGAATTTTAGAAAAATTTTCCCTTAAATCCATGTTTTTTTCATGATATGTAAAATATCATACTTGTGTAACATTTAAATATATCCTCACGGTATTTGTAAAGAATTTCGTTAAGTAATATTTTGTTCTGTGGTATGAAAAGTAACAGAGCAAAAGACCTCGTACTGTCGCGAAAGCTATTAATCATAAGACAGTAATATTATGGATATTTTGTGAAGTAATTTCCTTATTGCATTGTCTATAACAATGTTGCTGTTGCCCTATTTTCGCGTCTTCCAGCGCCGACATCACTTAAAAATATTATGAAAAATTTAGTAATCTTAATGCTGTCGCTAAAAGCGGCACGACGTCAGCTCTTGTAAACTATGCCACGGAAATAAAAAGGGACGCAGACTGGTTGAAGAATTTGCATAGCCTAAGTAAATTCTCTTTTTTATGCTTCAACGATTTTATACTTCAGTTCGAGTGATGTTTTCGTGACTTGATCGATACGTCTTCGTCAACGTGTTGGAATAATAAATAATATTGAATAATAAATAATATATCGCTCATCGAAGCACTATTTTTTCGTCGAAGAGATATTTCGCGCAAACTATTTCAAAATATACGAGTAAAATCTACTATATGCATAATTTTACATGAGTAACTTTCTTCAATTACGATGGTATTAACGTTAACATCTCTGTTATTTCCATACGTAAGAAAATGTCATCGTAACACATAAGATATGCAAGCTCTTCTTGAAGTATCCGGAGAATTTCCACTCAACAAAGAAATATACCTGATATTTGCATAAAAATGGAAGAAAAATTTTCAAATGCAATCAATATTTTCAAGCACTTTGAATTAGATTAAAATCCAATACACGTGGTATTTAATATTCATAGAAAAAGAAATAGAAGAATAAAAAAACCGAAAAGAAAGAAAAAAGTTAATTTATAAAAACAGCTAAAGTAGTATTTTATTAAAGTTGTATTGTAATTCTTCTTCCCACGCGATATTTTAATGTTAAATTTTTTAATATTTTCAAAATTAATTTTCAATGTTGACATTTCACTTACGATAAACATCTGAAGATTTTTCAAATTTTTCAGTTTAAGTAAATTTTATATATATATATTTAATAATCACTGACTTAGTGCTGGCTTAGTTTTTCAAACTAATAGAGTTATTTTACATGATAATGTTCGCGTGTGTCATATATATATATAGAACTTTGTTGGGCGAGTTGAAAAAGTTGGAAGAGCATCATTAATAATGGTGAGATCCAGAGCTGAGGTCGCACTGCTTTCGACGTGAATCTCTATGCTATGTAAAATAGATCGCGTAAAGAAAACGTAAATGAATTAGAAGGAGGGATGAACGTACCAACGCCATTAGACTGCGAGGTCGGGAGTTGCACGGCAACGCCGAAACCGCGCAGCTTCACCGGGGCGGAATTTTCCTTGCCAGCCAGGAGGGCGCACTGCGGCTTCAGGTCACGATGAATGATGTCATTCTCGTGGCAGTAACGCAACGCTTCGAGGATCTGTCGCATGTAATGACTGTAAAAGAAAGTGCAGTTTTCTTAGGTGCCGACACTTGCACCTTGCACACGTCACGAAAGTATGCCCTCAGCCGAGAACAATAGCGAAGGCCGCACGGAACACAAGCATTTGCGAGTCACAAAGAGCGAGTCCTTTCTGAGAATTTAAATAGAGCGATTAAGGCATGCCTCGTTACGTCGCATAATGATTTTATACCACAAAGTTCTAACAAATCCATTCAACATAGATAGAGTCACATCAGACTAAATAATATAAATCCAAAAGTTATTCGTATAATAATAGGTATAAAATAAGACAATTAATTATATTAATTGTTCTTGTTAATTATTAAATAAAGCGACTAAAAGAATCATAATCATACCATGTGAATCTAATTAAGCACGTGTAATAAAGTGCTTTTTGAAATAATATTTTTCATGCACAGTTATATTCAGTATAAAACCCTTGCTAGCTGACTCTTGACATTATCATATATTTTTTACAGGATACGAAAAAAGAAATGTGGTCTAAAATAAAAACAAGGTATTGATGATACAGTGTACTACCAGAAGATGATACAAAATATAAAATATTGCACAGACAAGAACGAAGCAGTTCTTTTAGTGTATCATGTTCGTTGTGCTTTCACTGTATCAATCAATGTAAACTTTGATATCATCGTCGTACGCTAAAGTACGCTACGTACAGAAAATGCATGACATTCGTGTATCTGATATGTGATATATATTAATATAAAACTGTCTTTATTTGATACTGTGGAATTAAATATAAAACAGAAAAGTACGTTTCTCGGAGAAACGTTTCAAAAGAAAATAAAGATTCAAACAGGATTTGTGCCTGCTCCCGCAGCTATTATATTTACGTATATTCTTTAAGTTTATTTAAACAAACAATCATGAAAGTTTATAAATCAAACAATCTGCAATTTATACTCTTCGATTTATACCTTCCTTTTACGTAGAGTATCATTATCTTGCAATTTCTATTAGGATTAACCTCTCATCTTCTAATTGTACTTTAATTATTCAATTATCCTTTGTAATATCAAAGATGTAAAATATATTTCTGACAAGTTTTAATGGGATCCGTTCGAGGTGAAGACTACTGTTACTTCAAGCGTGACATAAACGAGTATAGCGAATCTAATGGATCGCAGTCAAGGATTTATCGAGACAGGGATTTATTACGCTCCAGGGAGACTCTCTCGAGAGAGAATCCGTTTGCATTATATCGAGGTGTAACGTACAGAAGGTAATCATGTTTCAGTACTTCGAGTTTTAAATGACTCGGTGAGAACAATTAATTTATTAAAACTTTTCTTGCCTCGTTATCGACAAAATTAATAAATAAATTAGATTAAAATATTCTTCATCATTCACACAAGCGCATTTAAACGTAACTACTACGTAAAAATTGTGTATCAAGAATAACGCTCTTTAACTCTTTCTGATATAAATTAATGACACAATTTCACATTTGTTTCAAGAAACTATAACAATATAATACTTCTCCAAAGGAGAAAAGTAAAAAAAAATTATAAAAAGTAAATTTAATACAGCTACTATTAATTATGCGGAAAGTTTCTTGGAAAGTTCAAAACGGAGAGAAGTGTGGAATATTGCGTATTCATGCGGCATGATACTGGCATATTATGTTATATCCGAAGTAAACGATGCTGCTCTTAGTTTCAGAAGATAATGTTTAAATGGATATATTGTCTGCGGTGGAGTCACGATATTCGCTCGTTGCATGATGATAGATATAATGAATTTTCTTACCTTGCAACCGCTTCGCTATATACGAATCCAGCAGTTGCTCGTCTTACGACTTCGAAGCATAAATCAGAGCCATCCATACTGAAAGAGAAACAAAATACTGAAACGGGAATATCCGGTGATGATATGGTAAATAAATTCTTCTTAATTTGAATATTTCTCTTTCTTGTTCTACGATTCTATCTGTTTCAAATAAATTGTTCATTGATACCATTTATCTGCATATGTCGATAATGACTGGATGTGAACATGAAATTCATAATTAATTAATAGAAAATTACTGATTTAAAAAATATATAATTATATGATATCAGTAATATTGACATTGAATAGTATCTTTTTATGGCTCTTTATAAAAGAATGTTCCAATAAATTAAAGGAAACAAAGTGTGGATGAGTGTTATATTATTTAAATAGTCTCGTTAAAAACGCCTTGAGCATCGAGTCTATTAAAAACCATAGCTATCTTATCCGATAGCGTAGATTATTTCGAGAGCACCTCGGATGTGTGTATCCAATTATAGCGAACTATAGTAGAACGTTATAATAGATAGCAAACAACTAAATGGAAAACGTGCCTTTCTCGAGTAAAGATAGAGCGATTAAGGAAATGCTATGTATTTATTTTGCCGAGTCTTTCATTTTCGACAAACCTGATGCTTTTCTACCTTATATATCATAAACATAACGTTTTATTAGCCTGAAAATAATAATTACGCCAGAAAGATGAGAGAGTAGACTTGTTGGCATATAAAGGACGAGATTGACGCCTTTCGTTTCAAAAGTCGCTTTTCTAAAAAAAGACCGATTGAAAGTTCACGATTGAAAGACTATTACTATAATATATCCTCTGCAAAATTTATGCTGCATTTTTCAAAGTCTCATATTATTAAAAATTACAGAATTGAACTTGTATCTAAACTCGTTAGTTAAAATAAATGGAAAAATGTTGAGAAAACATAATAAATATTTTTATCGAATTATTTTTGTTAAATGTTATACCGATAATAACCGGATAACTAAACGTACAACAATACGTGTTTATAAAAAAAAAAATATATATACATATATGTGTGTTTCTGCATACTTACTACTCAAATACCATGTATAACATGCCCTCGGAGCTATAAGTTTCTAGCAGCTCTACAATATGTGGATGTTTCAACATATGGCATATTGTAGCTTCCCGTTTCAAATCTAAAACATACGAAATATGGATTTAACGCAGCAGATGTCTTGCATGCTTAAAGAATACGTAATGTAGAAATCGCAGAATAGTACAATTTTCTACTACAAATTGTTTTAAATAAATAATTTGGTGTATATTTAATACAAACTTGTGTTATCAAAGTATAAAGTATTAAAAAAATTTACGAAAGGAATAATTATAAAGGCCAAAAAAATTTGGGAATGAAAGAAGAGATATTCAATATCAGAAACATTGAAGAGAACATATACAAAAATCATTAAAATATATATGACAAATAATTATGATGCAAATAATTTGCAAGTGTATTGCGAAATTAATATTTTAAATTTTAATATTTCATTAAATATATAAAAAAACAAGCAAAATTAACTATTACTATTACAAAAATTAAAACATTAAATTATGCAAATTTATATTGGAATTCAATTATCTAAACTCAATATTTAAAGAAAATGAATATTTTATATCATCAATAAAGAAGAAGAGATAATTTTAAGCTTATTCCAATTAAACACGAAACTATAGATATTATATATGGGTCGGATATAAAAACTTTGTTTCCTGCACACTTTTTATCGGAGTCAATTTAGATGCCGTATCTGCATTGAACTGCAATGGAATCTGCAGTCAGAGCTACAAAAATCAAACTACGAAAATCGACAATCGGGAATAAAGAAAAAGCTCATATTTTTCAGCTAAATCATAAATATATCACAAGAAGAAAGTATAAAAAGTTAATTTAACAATAATTTTAAACAAAAGTTTATTTAATTGTATCAAAACATTTAATGTTAATATCTACATTATAACGCATGTTTGTAAAATAATTAATTTACTAATAAAAAATGCATATTTGTCCTATAATTTTGTATATTTTCATAAATTTTTAATGTGAAAATAATCAAACTTATCGCTATATTTTTCATAAGAATTCTGCAGTTAATATAAATTATGATATTATTAATTTTCGTAAAGAATTTATTATAAAATTATACTTTTTTCAATTTCATAATTAAATATCTTTGTAACTAGGTATTCTAGTAAAATATTATTAATAATAGAATTTTATTTGCTATTTACAAATTAATTACTCTAACAATAATTTTAATTTTTATATAAGAGTTTTATTAAAACATATAATTTGTGTCGTTTTATTTTATTTTTTTATAAATAAAAAATCATATTAATAAAATTGAGATATTTTGTGTGATACAAATTTTTATAGATATGGTAACACATATTGAAAAAATGCCAAGAATAGAAATCACAAGAAAAAAAAGGAAGAGGAATGACAATGCGGAAATTGAACAAAAAAAATTTAATAATATTTTATGATATCTAGTAAAATAAATGCCTTGCTTCATATAATTATGTTTCACGAATAGAAACGAAATATCATACTCTGTTCGCATATGTTTCCGGCTATTTACATGACCCTATATAATCTCAATGAGATTCCATATGGTATCTCGAATAAACATCTGTTTCACTGCTAATATGCTTTATTTATGAAAAATATTCCTCATATAAAAACTATTTTCTTCTTTTTCTAATTTACTTAATAATATTATGAGGAAAAAAACTTTGCAATGTATGAAGAGTCCAAATTCGATTTCCTTATTTTTTTATCTGTCAAACTCACAATTTTTATAGCTAGTTTTAATTCAAAAATTTTGCGCTTCTCGTAAAAATTAAATATTACTCTCATTTCCGGAAAAAAGTACTTTATTACACAAAACCGGTTTTGAATGCGCCCTCTTCATATATCTCATCTGGACCTGTCAGCTGGTACGTTGGGTTAAATCCCCAAAAAATGTGCGCGGCGACAATGGCTCGCCTTTCCATTCAATTGCACAATGCCCTTTGCGCCGGTTCACAACTCGAACTCACGTTTAGTCACTCTCATAGCATTGGGGAAAAAACCTACGCCAGGAAAAAAACGTTGCCAGGTGGACGGACAGGGAAGCATAGGCAGTGTTTCAAACATAGGGCGGAAATTAATGATAGTATTTACAAGGAACTGGTAGAAACTGCCTCTCTGTTATTTCGATAAACTTGTAAAGATAAAATAGTTTAAAAGATATATTTTCGTTTATGTTGTAAAAAATTAATCTTTAGAAAAGATTAGATTAATATATTCTAATATCAATATATGTTCCAATCCGAATATTACAAATTTTGTAATAAAATAAATATTTCAAACAAGAACGTAGTATTAAATTAAACATTTTTTGTTAAATTAATCAAATATCAGAAACTCATTGAAATCGGAAAGAGGCAATTTTAAATCTTTCTCTGTGCCATCTATTGTATGTACTTACCTGCAGTGCTGAGCCCAGGACTAGAGGTGAATTTCGCTACATCGACGATTTTTACGGCGAAAATCTGCCCGGTCTGACGGTGAATGCATTTCCGAACGACGCTGAATGGTCCCCTGCAACAATGCGGGCGAGATGTTAACAATAATAATTATGTTATGCGGGAGTTGCTTGTGTACGGATTACGTTTGAATATGTTGTCAAATGATTAACAAACCAAATCAAAAAGACAACTTCAATAAATACAAATATAATTAAATATTACATAAAATTTAACACCTATGAAAAATATAAATTACATTTAATATAATGTTAATTAAGAATTTAATTTTTTGTACATATTTCTATTTTAGATCAATTATAATAAATTCTTTTGCTTACAGAATTGAAACTGATTAAAATATAAAATTCATATTGTTAATTTGGATATATTAATAAACAGAAATTTAAGAATTTTAAGAATAAAGTTCCGGTGTTAAAGGATTAATCGTGAGATTTCTTTGACATCACTTTATAAACCAAGGTTATGTCCTTCCGGTGACCTAACGCCATTTTTAAATGTCGCGTGCGCTGTGACTCTCCATTTTTCTTACGCATACTTGTACTAATTTTGCATCCACATCATATATCTACATGTAAATTTTACATTAAATATAAGAAAATATGGAAAAAGGAAATGTCATTACAAGCAATATAGGTCATAGTTCGTTGAAGACGTTGAAATTTTGTAAGCTCACAATTATAAAAGTATTTCGGAAATAATTTTAAAATATACGATATTGAATATATTTCCAATAATTGATAAAGAATTGATATATTGAATATATTTCCAATAATTGATACAAATTTTCTTTATCAAAATCAAAATTTAAATCTTATTTTCCTCACGTATATGAGATAAGCAATATCATTTCCAACAGAAGATCATTATTCCTTAAAAAAACAAAATGGTTAAATCATTTAAAAAATTAGCATACTCAATGTATTAATTAATCAATGTATTAATTAATTAATTGTTTTAATCAAGTCGTTATATATAAATAAATAAATAAACGTCAAGATAAATGCCAATATCTTAAAATAGAGGCGAGAAGATGTCCATTTGTAGTGTAGAAACAAAAAGAACAAAATAACTTATGTTTATAATTAAAATATATATGTTTATTTTTAACTCATACATACGTACACACGCACGCGCGCAC